TTTAAAACTAGTTTAAAATCACAGAGTTATTTGTGTTCTTTGCCGAATTCAAGCGCTTCACACTGGATCTCACAGTGCTGTTTAGTGGTCGCGTGACCTTGACTTATTAGCGAGTAAACACATCTGCTGTAGTAAGCTCGCACTGCGCTGCCATTTGAATTTTGAGTAATTTCAAAAGCTCATTCCAAGCACTTGCTAAACAAAGTAAATGGTTACAATTTAACTTTTAATTTAAAGTTTAACTTGGTTAAAGAATACAGAATTTTCTATCAGAGCTGAGAGTGTGCTGAAGAACATCACACTTGTGGAAACCAGGCCTTAAACTGAATCAGTACTGACAAGAGAGGTACCAGAGGAGGGTCAATGGCCTGACAAATACAGGAGTCTCTGAAAAGACTGTGGATCATGTTCATGAGACAGCTGCAGTGTGGCAAGTGAGCATGTTTACGTCACGTAAATGAGGCTACCCACAAAGCGACTGACAATTAAGATGAAATGTGATGAATTTGTTAACCAAGACATACAAACCAGACTGGTTGAATATTTACAGCAAAGTCTATAAGTGAGTGATATGATGCTGTCAAAGCAAGACAAGAGCATGGTAAATATGATTGATATATAATACGTTCATGAACGTTTTTGTTTTAAACCATAATTTTAGGTCACAATTACAGTTTAACACTTTAGGGACCGATTCTCACTTTTAACAAGCTCCTTATTAGCATGCATATTACTAGCATATTGGCTGTTTATTAGCATCTATAAAGCACATATTTCTGTGTAAGCATATTTTTAGATCCCTTAAACTTAAAAGGTTAGTTCATCCAAAAATGAAAATTAGCTTGTGTTTTACTTACCCTCGAAGCATCCTAGGTGTATATGACTTTCTTCTTTCTTCTATCGAAATCCTCCAACATTTTTCTTTGCAAATCTTCGGTTTGTACTTCTAATTCGTGATCGGCATTTTGTTTTGTTCTCTCTCTGCATTCGTTACTATTCACGCAACGCCGCGCGTCTTACGTCATCCGCCGGAACTGCTTCAGAGTATGACAGTCAGCGGAAGTGAGAGAAAAGTATGGATAAAATATGGATATTTTTCTTACAAAAACTCATGGATTCGCTACAGGGGGCCTTTATTCATCCCCCCGGAGCCGTCTGCGGCACGTTTTATTATGAATGTGCGAGCTTTATTTGACGACTTGTGGACTGTTCAACTGCAACACCCGCTGACTGCAATGATAGAGCTTGGAATAGCCAGGACAATTTTTAATATAACTCCGACTGGATTCGTCTGAAAGAAGAAAGTCATATACACCTAGGATGCTTCGAGGGTAAGTAAAACAAGCTAATTTTCATTTTTGGGTGAACTAACCCTTTAACTACCTTACTAATCATTAATAAGCAGCAAATTAGGATTTTAATGATGCAAGTCATAGTTAATAGGTAGTTAATAGTGATAATTGGTCCCCAAACTAAAGTATGACCAACTGTATAAAGGCTATCTCAGAACATCATTTCAAGGGATAGTTCACCCAAAATGAAAATCATTTACTCACACTCATGTTGTTCCAAATGTGTATTACTTACCTTCCTCTGTGAAACAATTTTTATTTATTTTTTTAGGTAACTTTTAAGATTCATACACTCCAAGTTTTATTTTTATTTTTTCATTCTTAAATTACCTTTTTACTCCACTAGTTAATTTTAAATGGTCTTGCAAATATTCATTTTATCATCTTCCAGGTGGAAGACCTACATCCGACTGGTTAATATATAGCATACCTATCCTCTACATCAGTGTTTCCCAACCTTTTTTAAGTCGCGGCACCCTTTGGAAATTTTAACAAACTATAAAATAAGAACAAATAAAGAAATTAATAATGATAGCACAAATAAAAAATAACGGCAGGCCTTCGAATTAAATAAATTGCTTTTTAGTTTTTCAGGTAGGCCTTATCTTAACAGTAGGGTTAAGATATTTAACATTGTTCACATGAACGGTATATGAGTGGAGCGACTGCGCGGAGCGCACACGCATAGAGCGGGATAATACGCAGAGCGTCACACCACGTGAAAGTGAAACCTGAGCAGTGAACTAACTTTCGGCAGCCGAAATTTCGGTGCATCTCTAATTATTGGCGACATCAGAAATGGATATTATATAATAGATGCTTTTTTGAACATTTTAGCAATTTAAAAATATTAAAAAATGATTTTTTTACACGGCACCCCTGCTCTCAACAGACGGCACCCCAGTTGGGAAACACTGCTCTACATGCTTCATGATTTGTTATCATTGATGTCTGTACTGTAGTATACATTGTTTACCATAAAGTTCAATATTTGAGTCAGGGGTCTGTTCAAATCCTAAGCCCCAAGCAGAGCAACAACAATGGAGATACTTGACAAACACCAATAATAAAGCAACTCAAGAAACAGAAAGCTTTCAGGGACAGGGCTTAAAGGGAATACAATCATGTGGGATACAATCAAAGATGTTGGAATATGGAAGAAAAAAAAAAACGGAATATGAAAAATACTGGCCCTACAATGACAGTCGGTGGGGTGCAGCGTTGTTATTGACCCCATTAAATTCACTGTATGGGCAAAATCAGTTCTTCAAGATACCAAGTAAAGCAGATTTGGAATGACATGAGGGTAAGTAAATGATTTTTGTGTGAACTATTTCTTTTATAAATGACAAAAGGAAGCAACTCTGTTAACAACATGTTTGTGTTACTTTATAGTGGGAGGGGCTGGATCTCATATCAGGGGTCAAAAAGCAAGGCAATAAGTGATCTGAACTGAATGCATGCACAAGTAAACAAGGCCATAAAGCAAGAGAAATATTAAAACTAACAAGTTCAGATAGGCATGATGTTCTATATTTCATATCAGAAACAATACAGTACTAAAGACGAACAACAAAGAAGGTCATTTCTGATCAACCCACTAAAATGTAAATTTCATGGAGTCATAGTACATTCTGTAGTCAGGTCTATTTTGGTTGCAAGCCTCACCACAGTGAGCAACACAGGCCGGAGTGGGCTCAGCAGAACTCAAATGGCAGCCAGGCTACCGTGTGACTCCTCAACTAAACTTCCCCCACCACTAAATGAGCTCATTCTTCTCATGCTCAGCTCAAGTCCTGCTGGTGAAAACAGCCTTAACCACCATACAACAAGAGACATAAAACACTCTGTCTGTCTCTGGGGTCACCTTAAAATGAAAACTAGCAGATTACAAAAACTACTTAAGTAAAAATTTTCATCATTTATTCATCATCATCATGCCGTTTCAAACTCATATTACTTTTACTCTTCTGTGGAACACGTAAAATTATTTGTGAAGAATATCATGGCCATATGCATGAGGACTGAGGCTGTCTAGCTCCATAAATTAAGTTATTATTCACTGGCAAGTGGGCTGTTAAACAGAGATAGTTCACAATAAAATGAAAATTCTGTCATCATTTACTCACCCTCATATAATTTCAAACCTGTATAACTTTTATTCTTTTTTTTTGTGGAACACAAAAGATATTTTTAGAAACAGTTTTTTTGTCCATACAGTGGAAGTCAACTTAACAGCATTCTTCAAAATATCTCCTTTTGTGTTTCACAGAAGAAAGTTATATAAGTGTATAATAATATTTAGGGGTGAAACATCCCTTTTCTGTAACTTTTCGAGTCAGTTTGCTCAACTTGAAAACAGTTTGATTTGTAAACCAATCAATCAGAATCCAATTACAAATCTGATGTTCTGACTTCTCTGATGAACCCAAAATAATAGCTATTGCAAATGTCTAATGAATAGGCCTATAGTACAATATAGTGAAGTTGTACTGACTACTGTTAATCATTTTAACATCCCCAGGTCTTCACTTTCATTATATTGGAAAAAAAAGGCCAGGTCATTCTTCAAATATGCAATGTTTGTGTTCCACAGACGAGAGTAATTCGGGTATGACATGAATTACATAATCTTCCTCATTTTGGGATGAACTATTCCTTTAACTGCTACTGTCAAAATAATAATCATCATGTGATTTTATTTCAAGACAAACAGCCCTCACTTTAATCAGATATTGAAAAATTATCTGGCAAAGCACTATGGGTAATGTTAACACCCCACATGATTTTTTCTTTCTTTCTCATGCATAATAAACAAGTCTATTTTTATTTAACACTTGACCTAGCAGATGCATGCTGCCTCAAAACAACCTCAATTATCACTTTTGAAAAAGTATCCCAATGCACTCTGTTGAGGACTAGGGCTTTTCCTCGGGAGTCGGGAACTCTATCTTCTCTCATTACATACTTTTATTTATTCACTTCTTTGTTTCCTTCTTATGCATATATTTATATCCTAAGAAAAATACTTTGTCAACATCCTTAAGTGCTAATTTCAGTATTTAACTTCTAAACTCTGTGCAGACTTGCTTGGATTGATCTGGTCAAAAACTAATCACTACCTGGGTTGTTAAAGAAGGTTTCTTGGTTTTAAAACTGCTGGGACAGGAGCACGCTACAGTAACTTTCATTACATAAGAGCAACGGTGAACTAAATTATTAATGCATTACTACAGATGCAACTAAAAGCACAATTTGAACGGTTTCAAAATGACAAGCAACTGATTATACACATATACACGCCTGTCTATTTATGCATCCGTTTATCTTAGTGGTTACATACCAAAGTTAGGCTGTATCTCATCTGATTGTGTCCCAAATCCGAGTAAGTTGTCTACCTACACATGAGTTACGAATAAAATAAAATAAAACCCATAAATCAAAACGAATAAAAACGTTCGCTTTATCACAGGTAATAATCGCACTTTGCAAAGCGTCTATGATGACAAAATAAATCTATGTAGGAAGCTCACTGGGATTGTGACACAGCCGATGCGACCATCCGTTTTGGTTTGACTGTTCCATAAACAACCCGAGATAGTAAACGATCAACAGTAAAACTAAATCGCTGGGATTAAAAAATCTCACCTTTCACACGGACTAACAGTAGATATAATCCAGGTCTTCTCCGATCATTTTACACATTTCAACTGAACTCACAGCATGTAGATGTGTGTGTCTCATACTGCTGCCATCTTGTCCTGAGTCCACAGCACCATCACCCGCATTTTACACCTCAAATAGCTCAACAATACACGCGATCCACGACACAGAACCGAGTCCGGGGAATTGCAGTGGAGCTGGAGCTCTGCTTTTGGCGGTATGGGCGGTGGAGCCCATGTTGTGTGCGGGGAAGAGCAGCACTGACAGTCGATATCATGTCCCTGTTCACTCACTCACTCTCAGCTGCGCGAGGAATGTTTGCTGCTTATGACACTGCGTCAGGCCGAACTAATCGAGCGAGGAGGGAATCAAAACACTCGATGCAGACATGATATATAGATCAGTGACGGCAACCCTTAAGAAAACAGTAACCATAGTTACCGCAATACACTATACAATAATTAGTTGCTAATGTAAAATATGTCCTTCAAACACCATGATGCTTTTAGAATGTTGTTCGTCATTTTTTTTATTTATACGCTTGTGGAAAAAGTGTGCTTGATTGTATTGAATGTGCACTTGTAGTGTACTTCAAATCTTAAAAACATTTTTTTTATATAAAGTGTACTTGCAGATAATATAAAATCAAAGACCAATTAAGTGCACTTAAAGAGAGTACAATGTTTCTTAACACATTTAAGTACACATTTAAAAACTGCATTTTGTAATAATGTTAAATCAAAAAAAATTATATAAAGCACATTGCTTTAATAATCTTTTGTCATGCTTTAACAGACATCTTGCAGATGTACATGTGCTACCTGGGAAAGGAGAGTAAATCTTTGTGAGTGTGTGTGTGTGTGTGTGTGTGTGTGTAGTAGATTTTTTTTTGTGTGTGGTAGTAAAAATATGACTGCAATTGTACCTCATTTCAGTTGCCTCACGTTTCAGTAAATTGTCTCTTTGAAGCCTGTTGAATACAGACATTAAACTAATTATTTACATTATACTATCTTACTTACATTACTTACATTATACTTGAACTGTGACATAAAAGGAAGCAGTGAATTACATTTTGAATTCTGCAGTCTATAAGAGAATAATAAAAAAATAATAATAATCTGCAACATAACCTTAGGTGGCCCTTGCTGAATTAACCTCATGCCTTCCCAGCACCAGCGAGGTACTTCAATTTGCTTTTAGTATCTGTTTGTTTGATGACATAAGCTTCTTGTTTCGGTATTTAAACCAGCATCCCAGCGTCAAAACATACCTAACCAGCATATGCTGGTTTTTTTCAACAGGGATGTGTATAAGAACACATATTGAGACATTTGGTCAGTCGTATTTGATCAGCTGGCTACCGGGTAATCTTTTCCTTCTAGTGCTGGCTCTTTTCTGGTAACAGGATGTAACTGGGTGGTCTCTGAATCACTCAGTGGAAATGGTGCAATATTAACATATGCATTGAAAGAACTGTTTATAGCATCATAATTAACAATAAATGTTTAAAGCATCACAATTAACAGTCATGTTTTATCTTTTGGGAAATAATTACACGATAACACTTATAAAAGAGAATGTATCCTTTAACAACACTGATACACTGTCATTTTATGTCACAGTGATTGCAAGGCAGCACTGTCTTGCTGTTCCATTCTGGTTGTTACGGCATCTGTTTACTCTGAATGTGGTGAGGCAAAGGTCTATCCAGCTGCTTTGACAACAAGGTGTGACCGAGAGGCTTCACCATATAAATATCCTGGTGGCTTGACAGTTAATCTGGCAGTTTTGCAAATGGTAGAGACATTTGTGAGAGGCATTTGCAAGTGAAAAGGCACATTAACACATGCGCAAGAGTGCTGTTGTTCTCAATATCAGCACAGCTGTGAGTTGGCCATGGCCTGTGGGTAGGAGATCTAACCTATCTGGAGAATGGAGAACTTGTGAAACATGCCCAATAAAATTTGAGGATATTTTAAGAATTGGAAGGAAATAATTACCTAAACATTTTTTAAGAGAACTTCACTTGTTCCACGGTACACTTATTAATGTTATCATACTTTTATCGGTATTTTCAAGCCAGCCACACGTGCTGTCTTTTGAGGAACTCTGGGTTCTTTTAGTACAGCCTGACATGCGCAGCACTTTATTGCACGATCTGCTGCCCTCTGCAGTTTGAAAAAGCAATGAAAAATACTGTTCAGGTAATGCCATGTCAATGCTATTTGCAACAATTTTTTTTATTTATTGGGTAAAGGTAAATTAGATTTAATGGGAGATTTCACAAGAGATCGTATTAGATGTTTACACAGCACTGGTAATGGAAAAAGCAGAAATGACGGTAGCATAATGACAAACTAAAATAAAAATTACAAATAAAACAATAAAAAATTGCACCCACATGGCAAAAACGATATATTTTCAAATATATAGTTACGATACATAACAATACATAAGAATTAAACATTCAGTATAAATCTTTTGATCTCTAGCAGGCTATTTTATCCATATTTGCATTTACCGTAAATGCAAGATACTGTAAGATTGGAATTTTTCTTGTCTCTGAAATACATTTTGAAATATGTGGTATATGAAAGTTAACTTAATATATTTTCACTGTTATGTTAGCATATATTTAAACGCTTTGGTAAGAAACACTCTTTTTGCTATATGGGCATAACATTTTGTACATTAAATCATACAGACATAGGCCTATAATATAAATAAAATAAAATAAGATAACGGCAACAACAACAGTAATGTATAGACATGATTAAAAACACGAAAATAGCATTTAAATCACAATTAACAAATTACGTCTTCTGTATAAATTGTAAATATATAATATAAATTTAAATTAAAATAAAATAAATAAACGCTCATCAATGACGTGAATTATGATGTAACCTGTGAAAGAAAATGTAACGTCATCAATCCTTGGCTTATGTGAGTTTAATTTTTACACTATGTGTAGACAATAATACATTATATAGTAGTCAAAATATACTGTGCATTAAAATTAATTAAATCTGGTGTAAAAAATAGCCAACTAATATATACAAGTAATCTGTGTACAAGTGCTGTCATGACAACGGACACCGTAACTACGGCAGCACGTGTAGCTCTTTTCTTTACGGTTGATTTGTCTGTTGGTTTAGGCTGATAGAAAGGAAACAGTTACTTGCTATTTTCTTTATTTTCCCATCTGTTTAGTTAGCTGTATGATGTCTGTAGATGTG